TTCTACATATAACTGTATGGCTTGTCACTGTCATGTTTCCTAGCTCTTCTCTTTGCTTTCTTTTCATTGTCTAGTCCTCAAGTTCTTGCTTTCCTTTCAGTTGTATTATACCTTTCTATTTGTATTTCTTCTTTTGAGTTCTTATACTAGGGAAACTATCGAGACTGCATTTCTAACCTGCCGCCAGGTGCACAGGCTCTGGAGCTGGGTTTTGAGGACTGCTGGGCTCCAGCAGGAGGTCCAAACATTGAGCGATTCTGCTCCAGGACAGAACAAGAGAACAAAGGTGGACCCTCTAGGCCCTCAGGGCCAATGTAAGTGTTTGCTGCTAGGGCTCAGTTAGCTCCCTGCTGGTCCCTTCACACACTGGGACATCTCAAACAGAAATACAGCTAGATGCAGATTCCTGGCCCATCAAAGAGACCCTAGGGCTTCGGGTAGGAGCTGGGGTCTGAGGGCCTGCATTTTGCAAAGCATCTTGTGGTTCTACTGCAGGGTATTTGGGGTCTCCTGGTAGGTACCTGTGCTAAACCACGAGGGTTGGTTGCTTAACAGATGAACCGTCTAGTGCACCCTGTACACAAACTGGCATCTGTGGGGTGTGTGTGTGTGTGTGTGTGTGTGTGAAATTAAATCTCCTCATTGGAAATCTACATTTTCTAGATGGATCCAGTGGGTGCTTGCAACGCTATGCCCCAAACTGAACAGTTCCATGACTAAATAATCTCGATTCGAGGATATAGCTCAGTGGCATCAGTACCTGCCTGGCAAGTGCAAGGTCCTGAGTTCAATCCCCGGTTGGGAAAAAAAAAGTCTGGCCATAGATCTTTCTACAACTGAGGCCCAGCATGGATGGGACTGGCCCATCTTACACAGGCATGCACGTCCTAAAGCAGGGACCAGCCTCGCAGCTGAAGAAAAGCAAGGTCTCCCAGGAAGATCAAAATCTGAGCATCCAGCCAGAGTCTGGTCCTCACCATCGGCGGGATCTGGTCCTCACAATCCCACTGGGACCTGTGAGGTGCTCTCTCCTAGAAAACATGCGTCTGGAGTCCTGCGCGTCTCCAATCTTGGGGACCCTTGTTCTTAGAGCGCGCAAAGCCCTTCCGCACAGTACCACGGATGCCCACCAGAGGGCAGTGGCGGCGCACTACAGCGGAGCCCACAGCCCAGAAGTCCGGATCACGGAATCTGGAGAATCAGAACCACCTGGTTGCAACCGACGGGAGGGAGAGAAGAGACTTCTATAGGAAATCAGCCCCCCCGCAACCCCCGCCAGAATGTGCGCCAAAGATGTCAGATCTCATTTTCTGAGAGAAACCATAAATTCAGATTCTCATGTAGAATACACTGATCTATAAATGCTGGCAGTGAGTAAATTAATAAATTAGAGGACGAAGGAGTCCAAAATTAATGGAAGCCCAGCCCTGTCCGCCGAGGGTTCCGGGCACCCCCTCCAATGCCCGTCCTACCCACCCTCTCACCCATGTCAGCCTGCCTTGGATACCACTCTCCTCATAATGTGGACTTAAAAATGTGCAGCTTTTTAATACGTTTGGAAACTCTTCTAATCCAAGTTTGTCATGCTGAGACAGGACACTGAGGCTGAGGGATCGGGCGAATTTGTCCTGATCCTGGAAGACAGCTGTGGCTACAGAGAGCCACCCTGAGGGTGACCATGAAGCTCAAGGTCCGGCCAACTGAGGACCCATCGGGTGGTGCGCTTCTGGGTGCTGGGCCTGTCCTGTTATGACCCCTCGAGAAGGGGTCCAGAGCAGCCCAGGGGTCCTTCAGGCAGCGCCCCTCACCCTGCACACCCCACCCAGACCTGGACAGTCCCAGGAGCTTCTGAGCCACCCTTTTCGCCTCTGCTCTACACCCTGCAGGAGCAGCAGAGGCGGCACCCAGGACTTCCTCATCTGCCTGCTTCTGTTAGAACCAATGGGCGGTGCCTTTGGGGCTGCCTCCCAGCCAATGGGAGGCCAGAACTGGCAAACATTCCCCCCCCCTCCCAGCCCCCACTCTGTGTTTTACAAAGTGTTTCCTCCTTCGTCCTCTCAGGAGCTAGCCTGGACCTGTACCTGGCTTGCATAATTTATTCAAACCTTTGTAAACGGTCCCTTTAAGAAACTCTCCTCAGTTTATCCCTTTGTCCTACCTGTTGCTATGAAAACTCAGAACTACCTTTCTTCTGCCATTCTCACTTGGATTGCTAAGTCTGTTAATATCTTTTGTCATCTAGTAACAATTTTCTGTAAATCAGCCAATATTGGTTAGTTTACTGTGCCTATTGTTTTCTGGTATGATCTCCAAGTGATAATATGTAGGTCAGGCATGGGATGTACCAAATTTTTTTTGGCAGAACCAAGGAGGTTATGTATTTGGTACAAGATCTTATTCCACAGCTCGGACTCATAGTGATCCTCCTGTTTTCAGTTTCCCCAGTGCTAGGATTGCAGGCATGCACCACCACACCCGCCCAGTGGCCAGCTCAGTGCGCCCAGGGGTGGGGCCAGAGTGGTATGTGGTGCCAGGGATCAAACCCCAGTCCCTGCACCTGCCTAAGCAGGCGCTTAGTCCACTGAGCTATCTTGCCAGCCCTGTTTTCCTAATATTAGTTACAATTAATCCATCACTAGGAAAGGTAAATGTTCCCACCTATGATCCAGCTGCAGGCTGCCTGTGGCCCCCACACACACCCCACACTTGGGAATGGGGTCTTATGTGAAAGCGAGAGGCTTCTCTTGTCACATGAACAGAGCATGGGGCCAAAGAAAGGAACAATGAGTTCTGGAAGGGGCTGACATCTGTATAGGGTCAAGACTCAGGAGCAGGATGTCAGAGCAAGGAGGGACAGGAGCCGAAGAGGGCGCCTCGGGGCTTGGGACGGGAGCTCGTGTGCATCAAATGTCTCCGAGGTGAGGGGCAACGATCTCTCCTCAATTCTCTGAAGCTCTTGATGAATAAGGTTAGCAAAATTTTAAGGCAAAGGGCCAGAAAGTGGGGGCTGGGGAGACAGCTCAATGGCATGAGCGCCTGCCTGGCAAGCACAAGGTTCTGAGTTTTATCCCTGGTTCAGGGGAGGGAGGGAAGGCCAGAGAGTAAAATATTATGTGTCCCCCTTTATATAATCTTTTTTGTTGTTGTTACTGGGACTTGAACTCAGAATCTGGCTCTTGTTAGGCAGGCACTGCACCACTGAGCTATCTCCCCAGTCCTACAATCTTTTACAAGTGTAGAAATCATTCTCAGCTCATGAGCTGTGCAAAGACAGCCATGGGCTATGGTTGACTGAGCCCCGGATTATAAAACCAACCATGGAGTGTGAACATCACTGCTGAGCTAGGAGAAGCTAAGATGCAGGGGAGACAAGCTGGGCCTTGAGGCCCTTTCTCTGCGAGCCTCCCACGGGCTGCACCCGAGAGCCTGGGCAACGCCGGCTGGCCCGACCTGGATCCTCTGCGTCTTCTTCTGCAGCATCTCCATGTCGTTGTTGAGTTCTGTGACGTAGTTGAAGCGAGCAAAGTTCTTCTCCTCCTTGGCCAGGAAGTCCCCAATGAGGTGGTTCAGGTTCCCGTCCTCCACCAGCTTCAGCAGCCGCAGGTAGGCCACCTCGTAGCTCTCAAAGCTCGTGCCCGTGCTCTTCCTCCCGTGCTTCTTTGCCCTGAGAGCTAGAGCAAGGGAAACCAGAGCTAAGGGGTCCACACCGGAAGCCACGCGGCTCGGTCACAGGCAGAGGGCAGGGGCTCAACATCGTGCCTCGGGAGGGGGTTCGATCTTCGCGTGCCCCATGGAGCCGTTAGCAGAGGAGTCAGGCAAAAGAAACTGTCCAAGTAAAGAGCGAAAGAAATCCACTCATTGCTCTGCTTTAGATGCGGACAGAGGAGGCCTCTCTAGCGAGGTGACGTGAAGGGCCAAGGAAGGACCCAGAGTGAGTTCTCAGCAAGGCTCAGAGCTTGGCAAATACAACCAGTTTCCAGAAAGTTCTCCCCTAAGCCTCGTTCTCTGCAGCCTTGAATCCTGCATCGGCCCTGACTCCTGAACCCGGCCTTGATTCTCTGATTGGCCTTCACATGGCAATTAGAGGATCTTGTCCAGATCTTTCTAGATCCTTCTAAGCACTTCTAGCCATGTGACTCCTTCCATTTGCCACTCCTTGCTATTCTCGGAATAAAGTAAAAGTTTCTCAGCATAAATTAAGATCTGGTCCCTGGGGCTGGTGAGATGGCTCAGTGGTCTAAAGCACCTACTTAGAATAAGCTTAGCAAAGCCCAGGGACCACGGTTCAATCCCCAACACCACATGCCAGCCAGCCCCGCCCCCTGGTGGGCTGAGCTGGTCACACACACACACACACACACATTAAAAAAAAAAAGATCTGGTCCCTGTAGTCCCAGGGGACCGCACTGAAATAAATTGGACACATAAGTTTAAATATTACGATCCAGGACCAGAGGTTGGCTCTGGTTTGCACCCCTTCTGTCTCCCTAGGGTGGGTGTGGTGTACCCCTGAATGCTGGTGCAACAGACACAGGGTGGGTGCCCCTCAGGGAGAGACCATTCAGATGCCCCCTGGCCACTTGCCTCTCGACCATGTTGGGACCGCCCAGACCGTGGAGAAGCCTCGGTAGCTTCTCCGTTCTGTCCGTATTAGATGTGTCCACAGAACCACAGGTTGGGACCCTGTCAGGCTCTGCAGCTCTGAGGTCCGATGGGGCCTTTCTCCAAGGAGCACAGATGGAGTGGCCGCCTGCTTTCACTGTCTATTGCAAGCACTCACACAATCACACAATCACTCAGCAGGCACTCGGAGGTTGAAAATTCCAACCTCCTTCCCTTGCGGGCGGCCTTAACTAATGAGAGGTGGTCAGGCTCTCCTGCTTGGGTCTGAACAGGGCTGACTGCCTGCCTGACTGACTGGGGGTGCTGCCAGGGGTCTTGCCCCATCTGATGAGCTGACCCAACCATGTCCTTTCCCCTCTTCCTGGGGCCATTAGTGCGCAAGCAGGGGCCTTGAAGGAGATGCCAAGGAGGCCTGGGGGGCACGCCCTCCCATCAAGAAGCCTGAGGGGGGCCTGGCTTTGGCCACTGGGCCTCAGCAGGTTACCTAAGCAGTCAGCACAGTCTTCCTGGTTGGGGGAACCAAGAAATATTATGGAAAACTGATCAAACATAGAAAGCAACAGCACCAAGAAGGTTTAGGAGGCAGTTTATTACCAGGTGGGCCTGACTGAGATCTCTCCCAAAGAGTCTGATCCCTGCTTGGTGTTTTTTGGGGACATTTATATAGAGAGCAAGCAGGGAAGTACAAAGATCTGGCACATTATGATTGAACTGTTGGGTGACCTCTGCATTGGCAAGGGAGTTTCAGCATCTCAGGTTACATTGCAAGGCCATCAGTTAAGTAAGCATGGATTATACAAAGGAAGAAATGACTTGTTTTCAGGCTTGTCTGGACGTACCCATCTGGTTGTGGTGGGCATTCTTGGCAGGCTTTCACTTAAATTTTTGATTCCCCCTTTAGTGGGAGAAATTAAAAGTGTAAATAAGGACCAAAATATATAACAGACATTGGGAAATGGGAAGAAAATCTTCAAATGAGAAGGGCAGTGAGGGAGGGGGAGAAAGGAAGGAAGGGACAAGAAAAACAGTGACTAGAAGGAATAAAGGGAAACAAAGCTTTGGTAATGCATAGCAGAAGCAGAAGCAGGGTATGCCGTGGCCAGGTACAAATTCCCTATGAGGAATGCAATTAAGTACTTCTGAAATGTACCGATAATAAAAAAATCAGGTCCCCTCTCCTGCCCAGTGCCTGCCTCCACCAGATGTTGACACTGCTCTACCTGGCTCCTCTGATGGCTCCTGCCACACACAGGATAGAGGTGTGGCCCTGCTGTCGCCTGTATGTATGACTCTGTGCTCTGAGATGCAGCGTCTCTGGTGTGCTCCCCTAAGAGTCACCTCCTCTCACATGTTGTCACCAGCTGTATCCTGTGCCCTGTGTGACTCTACCTGGAAGCCTGTGGCTGGCTTCCTCTAGTTTTTGCCCCTGCACTTTCCCCATCATCTTCCCCCCACAATCCTCAGTCCTAGGGGTGCTCTAGGGGCACCCAAGGCACATGAGTCTCCCCTGAACAATAAGAGTGTTGGTGTGAGAATCTGGGCCAGGTACGTGTGAGCTGAGGGCACGCATGACATCCCCCAAAGTACAAATATGCTTTAGGGTAATTACATCCCTCGTGCTTCGCGGGACACACTTATCCTCAGGATGTATTCATTGTTTATTTGAAATTTAAACTTCATTGGACACTTTGGATTGATATTTGGGAAAATTGGCAACTGTGCTCTAAGGAGCGAGAAACAGACAGACACAGAGAGAGACAGAGACAGACACAGAGACACAGAGAGAGAGACAGACACAGAGAAAGACAGAGAGAGAGAGAGAGAGAGAGAGACAGACGGACGGACGGATGGACGGACGGACGGACGGACGGACGGACAGACCAGCCCTGGGGGATGTACCTTCCTCCCTCTTGGCCTGCTCCTCAAATTCACTGCGGTCATTGAGCTTGACGAGCAGGAAGGACTTGAGCTTGGCCTCGTGTGCGTAGAGCCGCTCCAGCTCGCGGATCTCCAGGTTGTACTGGGAGATGTCTTTCTGCTGGCGGTCCTTCATGGCCGCCATGCGAGCCATAGCCTCCAGCCTAGGGAAGGTGCACAGCTGGGGTGTCCCTGCCTAGCCTGGCACTTTCTGTTCCACCACAGACCACCAGGTTTCTTAATACAAGTTTCTGGAGCAGAAGGACACCCATTATCACCCGAGCTACTGAACCTGAAGCTCTAGGCCACCCCAGGGAGTGACTTTCCTGCCACCATCCGCTCTGTCATCACTACTGCCATCATCACCAGGGTTATCGAGATCATCACAACCATCACCGCCACCACCACCACCACCATCACTATCACCACTGTCACAATAACCATCACCACCACCACCAGCACCGTCACCACATCACCATCACCAC